TTTAAAAAAACAACAAATTCAGTTGGTCAACAAAAATTAAAGAGAAACAGAGAATTTATGAAAATGATTATACAAAACAAACACTATTTTACAACTTTACTCTTAACATCAGAGTCCAATGCAATTTCAGGGCCACAACTCTGCTCTGAATTGTGACTTCCTGTGCTTGAAACAAGTTGCAGATTCTCGTTGCTTTGATGGATCTGGATATTTACATGGCACTACAATTCATCAGCAAAGTTGCAGCTTGGTCACAGAGCCATCCTTACCCCAGAGGTGGGATCATTGCATGCGACTTTTTGTCTAACATGGCAGCCTTCTCTGGTCTGGGAAGATTAGTGAAAGTGTCATTGATGATTGATGCAGTCTTGGTAAACTCCAGAGCTTTGCATCCCCCCCCCCCAGATTTCAACATCATCATATCATCGGGAGAAACATGGTCAGATTAGCCTTGTGTACATGAGAAACATGTGAGAATGACTGTAAATGTGTTCAAGGTGGTGTGTGTGCTTCAACATCTATAAAATTTCCGATAATCAAACATTGCATATTTTTGAAATGTTTCTTTTTCAACAGTCAATGCTGCCTTGACATCTTGTGATTATATATTAATAATAGTATTATTATTATGATTACGCAAAGCAAAATATTATCAATGAAAATCTTGTAATTACCCAGCAATGATCTGCTCCGTGTTTTGATTCCAATTAAAATATTTATAAGCTAAAATAAAAATATCATTACAAATAAAATAAAGTAACTCTCGTTAGATATTAACACATATTCCCAAACCAAACCAAACCAAACCAAACAACACTCATGTTTTGTCACCTTGGACTCTGTCAAAAAATAAATTGTTTTTCCAAAAAAAAAAATCAATCAATTCGCATCTGTCCTCCCAAAAAAAAACCAATAGGATAAATAATTAATGTGTACACATCGATCAAATCACAACTTCTTTTTTTTTAAAGATTTTTGAAGATGTCGAAATTTACAACAAAAAAAAGAAGTAAACAAGATAATACTGGTGCCCTTAATGTGTAAGTGTTTTAAGGATGGTGGTGGTGGTTATTGCCACTCGATGTATTGAAAAAAGAAATACACGATCAAATTCAGGAATTGCAAATCAGTAAGTATTATTAGAGAATCTGAATAATGTTAGTTCAACTCTAGTTAATGCATGATAATTGAAAAAACTAGTAATGCTCAAAATGACGTCAAAGACAAAAAAAGGAAGTACGGTAAGTTCATTATATAGTTTTACAGCATCTTAATATTATTTATCTTGATTCAATTGATTTTTGTAATGTTCCCTTTTTGAATAGATTACTCTGGAGATGGACTTAATTCTAGTTCAGATGGATTTACGGGAGAAACAGATTCAGAGTTTGATACAGATGTTGACAGTGATAATTATGAATCTGGTAATGTTTTCTATTGATGAAATTTCTACTTTGAAGGATTTTTAATTTACACCTTTTCCATTTATCAAATTTATTATTCTTAATAACCCTTGTTGTATCTATTATTACCAGAATATTTAGGAACTCCAACACCAATAGGACCTAATGAAAACAATGTTTTGAAACCTGTATGTGATTATAATTTGGCTAACAAAATGCCAGTAATCAAATACCTAATGTAATATAATATTTTCTTAAACATAACCTATTAGAAATTTGACCCATCACATTTTAAATCCAATTATGAAAAAATGGATAATGCTGTCAAATGGAAATTAAGTTCTGGAAAATTTCTTGAAAACATAATGTATGATTATGGAATGGTACTTGAATATGAAGAGTATGTATGACAATTAATAACATAAAAATACAAATTATATAATTATGGAGTATATTAATTTCTCAATATTGTATTAAATAACATTTATTAGTCCAGTACACTCATGGGTTCTTGATTTAAATGATACCAAAGTCATGAAAGGGTTTAATGAAGAAGATGTGAAAGAATTAAAGAAAAATTACATTATTGTGCCAAAAATTTCAGATGAACTTACCACATTTTTATTTTCTCATATGATAGTAAGTACTGCCAAAAATTATAAGTTCAAAAATTAGGAAATTGGACTTGATATCCTTTGTTAATATTTTTTTTTAGACTGATATATCTAAGTATTGTGTAATAAATTTTTCCTCTATTTTATGTCATTTCTTACAATACACTTTTGGTTATATTGGCGAAATTCCAAATGAAGCACATAATGACAGAGTGTATAATATTAATTATATCCAAAAACCATCACAATCTGGACTGAGAAAAAAGCTCGATGAATCTTATCTTCAAGAAAACAAATCATATAATCAAGAAATGCATTTTGTTTATGATTACATAAAACATTCCATCAAAAAAATGTATGAGTCATGTTTTTTTTTTGATGTGTGAGTTGACTATTATTGTTTTATGAATAACAAATAATCAAATAAATTCTATTTGAATAGGTTGTTGTTTTGGGAGGATCCTCAAAATGCATTGCTTAAAGAACATCCAGAAAATTGGTTTAATGTAAATTTGTGGGGATCCCTCAGAGACCTCATCATTAGAAATGTACCTGGATTTGACAATATAAGGTATATCACCTAACTTCTTGTAGTCACTATTTTACAACATCTGTATTAATATACTGTAAAGACTAGTGCTGTAATCCAAAAAAGGAAAAAGTATGGTTGCAAAAGTGGTTGCAAAGGTAATTGCAACCACTTTTTATATGCCGTCATCATAA